TCTTGGGGCCCTCTTGGGTCGTCTGAGAGCTCGCAGAGGAGGCGAATGTGCTAAAAACGCATGTTTTCCAATGGACACGGCGAGATGTTTGCTCTTTGAGGCCGTCTTGGGACGCCTCTTGACTGCTTCTTGGGGCGTCTTGGGGGCCTCTTGGGCCGTATGGAGGCCAGCGTGGGCGTTTTCGATCGATCTTTCGGTGATTTGTGGCCCTCCTGGACCGTCCAGAGGGCCTCTTGGTGCCCTCTGAGCCTGTTTTGGGCCCCCCTGCGCACCCGTGATGCGTTCGGGCGGCCCCTGGGGGACACCCCGCCCACCCCCTTCCAAATCGACCGGACCAGGCTCCCAGGGGAGGGGTTTGGGGAGGGGGAAACATTTCACACGCAGATGAACCCCAAGGGGTCAGCGGATGACAGGAAGCGTCTTCTAGGTACGAGAAGAGAGCTGGACGTTTTGGCTGAATCTGCATCATATCTCACAATATCTTACTAAAAGAGGGTGGCGCGCTGCAATTTGGACAGGGTTAGCGAATGACGGGAAGCGAGTTCAGACTCGAAGAGTCGCGCGATGGACGTTTGTTTAGACCGGGGGGAGTCTGAGGGGGGAAGGGTTCGGGGTACCTCCTTTATTCGACCCCAGTGGATGACGGGAAGCGTCTTCGAGGTACTCGAAGCGAGCTGGACGTTATGGCTGAATCTACATCATATCTAATAAAATTATTACTAATATAGGGTGGTGGGTCGCACGGCGCGCAAGCTTAGCGGATGACGGGAAGCGCACTTAGACTCGAAGAGTCGCGCGATGGACGTTGCTTCTGGGTCCGGAGGGAAAAATATTTATCAAGTGGAGGGGTCCAGGGGAGGAGTGGTGGTGGGAGTGCTCCGTGATCGGGACGTTGCGGATGATGGGAAGCGCGCTTGCGCGATGGACGTTGGTTGTCGGCCCGGAAGGGGATATATTTATCAAATGGAGGGGTCCAGGGGAGGAGTGGTGGCGGGATCGGGCCTCCACCGGGACGTGGCGGATGACGGGAAGCGCGCTAAGAAGGCCTTGGCTCGAGCGATTCCTGGCGTTTCTCGGGTGTCGGCGGGGTCGCGAGCCCCCGCACAGCATGCATGCACTTGATGGCGGGACATGTTTCGTTTCTCCTTCTTTGCGCCATCGCTAGCCCAAGCTGGAGGGCCGAGCGTTCGGTGACGGCACGATCACCGTGGAGCTCCATGATATTGACTGACGCAAAGGATCGAAACGAGCCAGTGCACAACACAAGGAGCTATCACCGGGCCTGCCGAACCATACGCGCCAGAGGGCGGGTGTGGTTTTGGGGAGTCCTGTATGATGGCCAGGACGCTGTGGCAAAGCTATGCCGATTGGCGGCGCACTGTAACGCGGTGTTCCCGCCATCATTCCTCCCGCGGACCCATCGTATCCCGACACGAGGATATGCCACGATGGGGATTGGACGCTTGGACGAAGTTCTCCGACATGCGGCGGCTGTTCGAATCGACGTCCTTTCCCTGATGGGCACCATGCTCTCCAGTGAGCCCCAGTGGGAGAGCCCTGACTACAGCATCACGCCTTCTCCATGCCCAGTTCGCCACCAGAAGGATGGCGTAGCCATTGCGGTGTCCGTGCGGATTGCCTCACGTGGCGAAATCCCAGTTATTCACAGATGGCAGAGGGGAGCGCTGGTGGGTATTCGTGAGCAATGCGCACCACACATCGACTTCTTCGTCCTCTGTGGTTACGCCCTCGCAGACACGCTAGCTCATGGAACATTTACCGACCACAGAGGGCCGACAATGGACGACGCCTCTACGCATCCTCTCCCTGTGCGGCATACGAGCTCCCAACATCGGTGGGCCTACAGCAGGAAGTAGCACTACAGGGCGGAACCCCGTTGACCAAAGAGAGACATGGATCAACTACATCGCCACACTGCGCAGCACGGACTCCCAGGATGTCGCACGGGCCGTCAAGGTGACCCCATGGACCCTGGGTCCCTCTCAGGACCGCATGATCGACGAGGCTCCTGTACGTGTGGGCCAGGACACGACTCCGACGTGGCACCGACCTCGACGTGGCACCGACAACATATACTGAGTTCCTTACAGGCTCGGCAGCGATGGTCTTCTGCTGAGGCTGAGGCCCCTGGCAGCGGCGGCCCAGTGACCGCCGCCATCAGCGTCGCCATGCGTTTCCAGGGCCGAGTGTTCCACGCCATCGCCCCCTTGGTGCAGCAACTTGCGCAGACCCCCTCTTACCGACTACTACGACTTCCTAGAGCAGGCGATGGTCTCAGCAACGTGCGACCGCCTCACGTCCATGACGGAACGCCAGTTCTTTGCCTTCTCTCACGACATGGGCTGCATGATGAAACAGAAGCAGGAGGCTGTTGGGTGGGCCACTTGTCTCGCCGACTAACGCGCCCCTACTTGTGCCTTGTGCAGAGGGGGCGCCGCTGAAGGAGATGGCCAAACTCGTCCCCCAACCCGGGGGCAGCCATCGTGCCACCTACCGCGACACGTGGCCCTGGAGCTCGAGAGCAAGGCCAAGACGAAGTTGAGCGTGGACCGTGCGGTGGAGTCCTACAACTCCGAGGGCAAGACCGCCAAGGCGGCAGCCGCGGAGGCGGGCGAGGGGCACAGGGGGCACCCCCAGGGCAGGCGCCCCGATGCCCTGCTCCGAGCGGACCTGCACCACCAACAGTTGGCATTTCGAGGGCACGGAGCCGCCTTGAAGGAGGACAAGGCCGAGAACGACCAACAGCATGTCCAGATGGCCTCGAAGGCGGTGGTCACTGCTGGCGAGATGGCCCCCCGAATGCACCCGTACCAAGCGGCGCGCTGCTTCGTGGTAGAGTGCCAGGACAGGGTGAAGGAGGGCAAGGTTCGCTGGATCGTAGCGACCGACCGCCACCGCGAGCTGCTCGGATCCACCCGCGCCCTCCGCCTGGCTTCGAAGTGGCAGAACTGGTGGGCGCCCAGATCGACGACGATCATGCCCCCTCGCTCCAAGCCGCCAAAGTGGGCGAGGAACCAGCAGCCTAGCCTACGTCCAAGGCAATGGGAATGAAGAAGTGAATTTGAAACGGATGTTGGGTACACTCCTTCAGTTGTGTGTCGCTTGCCAGTCTGTCTTTCGTTATGCAGCTGCTCTGCTGTGTCTGATTATTCTCAGCTGGTCGGGATCATTGTGTTCTGGTTCGTGCCGACAGTCCGTCGCCACCAGTAGTTCGACCAGAGGGTCGTTCACTGTCAGGCGGCGTGTCCATCAGGGGATGGACGCCTCGCGTGATGTGTCTGAGTACGCACGCGTGCGCAGGCCTCCCTTCGGTGGGCCTCGTGGAGCTCGCTAGACCTCATGGCTGGGGCTGCGGTATCAAAAAACGCGCTAAGACTCGAAGAGTCGCGCGATGGACGTCTGGTTGCCCAGAGGGATGTACCAACTTGGGGGGGGGTCTGGGGGGAAAGCGCGTTATCGCATCGTTGTCGGGGACCCGCCGGATGACGGGAAGCGCGCATAGACTCGAAGAGGTGCGCGATGGACGTTGTTCTCCGGCCCAGAGGGAAATATTTTCAACTGGGGGGAGTCTGAGGGAGGAAGGGCTCGGGGTTGCTCGGTGGTCAGACCCTGGTGGATGGCGGGACGCGCGCTAAGACTCGAAGAGTCGCGCGATGGACTTTTGTTTAGACCCGGAGGGAAATATTTTCAACTGGGGGAGTCCAGAGGGGGAAGGTATCGGGACTGCTCCTCCATCAAGGCCTGGCGGATGACGGGAGGCGCGCATAGACTCGAAGAATCGCGCGATGGACGTTTGTCAAGATCTGGAGGAAATACTTATCAACTGGGGGAGGTGCAGGAGGGGAAGGTATCGGGATGACGGGAAGCGCGCATAGGTTCGAAGAGTCGCGCGATGGACACTTGTCAAGACCCGGAGGAAATATTTAATTATTTATGAATTGGGGAGGTGCAGGAGGGGAAGGTATCGGGATTGCTCCTCCGCCCAGGCCTGGCGGATGACGGGAAGCGCGCTACGACTCGAAGAGTCGCGCGATGGACGTTGGTTTCGGCCCGGAGAGAAATATTTATCATTTGGGGAGGTGCAGGGGGGGAAGGTCCTGGAATTGCTTTCTGATCAAGACCTGGCTGATTCCCCAAAATAGCGATTTCGCCTAAGACATCGTCGCCAGGAAGTCGTCCAGGACGAAAAACTTGTCCACGGGGGCGGGTCGAGAGGTCCTGGGCCCACGTGCAAAAAGGAACTAGACCCATGCGTCAAGAAGTGCTGGTATAAGAAATCTTTGGGGCGCATTCTTCGTCGATTTTTGACGGTCCTAAGGTCCCCCAGAGCTGGCGCGGGTCCCTTGGGCCATTGGGGGATCATGAACTTCCACGGGGCACATGCTGGCAGGCCAATGTCTTGTTTGATGTGCTAACTGTACTAAGGACATCCGCACGCCGCACCTCGACTCGAACAGCTCCCTCCCCAATCTCAGTGTCCATCAGCGTCGCCATCGTGCTACCATGTTCTCCTCCAGCCCCTCCTGCTCTTCTTGCCTTGTCTCCTCGTTATTATTGCTCCTCGTCCACCGGATCATCCTGATTCTGATTCCTCGCGTGCGAAGAGAAGAGAACCACAGCCGCTGCGCTGAGGGAATCGCCCCTGGCCCCTGTCGGGGCCGACCCCGACCCACCAGCGGTGATGACCTGCGCGCGGCACTCGTAATCAGGCGCCGCGCGCAGGTCATCACTGCTTGGGGGTCGGGGTCGGCCCCGAGGAGGGGGGGCGCCAGGGGCGGTTCCCTCAGCCCAGCGGCCGTGGTCCTTTTTTCTTCGTTCCTGAGATGCACCTCGCCTCCTTCCCTTCCTCCATCATCCCTCTCCCTCTTCCTCCTCATTCTCGACTCCTCTTTCCTCTCTTCTGCATCGTCCGCCAACGAGGCATACATTTGCTTTTCCCCCCCTGGCAATTACCATCGTCGTAACTCCCTAACTCGTAGGAGCTTGTCAGAAAACACATCGAGAACCAGAAGGACGCATGGCGGGGGAGCATTCGGAATTCGCAAGCTCTCCGGGAACTGGCGCAGTTAACTCGAGGACAGCTTGCTGTCCGTGCCATGCTGATTCACTGGTCGTTCGACTCGAGCATGGGCATCGTCATTTGCCTGAACGCAATTACTATAGGGGTCGAATCAACGTACACATCGAAGGACCTTGATGCCCCTGGGTGGGTGGAAGTAGCTGAGTACTTGTTCTTGCTCGTGTACGCGGTGGAATTGGCGATGCGCATATACGTCTTCCATCTCAAGGCGTTCTCGAGCCGCTGGGTTGTGTTCGACGCTTTCCTGGTGTTGACTGGGTTCCTGGGGGATGACAACAATCGACCTGGTCCCATGCTGCCTACGCCTGGGGCAGGGCTTGTTTCGATTCCTCCGATTCGATTCGATTCGATTTCGATGGTTTCAGATTCCGATTCGATTCGACTTCAGTTAAAGATTTGGGCTCCGAATTCTCAATTGAGGCCTACTAGCCTGCCGATTTCCGTCCATTCGACTTCTCCTGACTCGGCTGTCGATTTCCGCCGACTCGACTCATTTTGATCGCCGACCCGATTTGCCAATTCGATTCTGGTCTCTTCTGCTTGGGGCGGGCCTTGTCAGGATCGGTGCAGGTGGCAGTCCACAGACCTCCAGCACCTTGAAGCAGTAAGGCGCGGACGCTTCTTGATCGGACCCCGTGAACCGTTTCGAGATGTTTCCAGCCCTGGAGAGCGGGCAGAAGCACGGCCCGAGCCGATGTACCGACTCCCGTGATCGGGTCTGCGGCCGGACCGAGGTATGAGAACGAGGTCGGTTTGGGGAGGGTACCTTGGCAATCTTCGCAGTTGCTGCATGTTCTCGTGCATCATGGAGAAGGGTACCCTGCAGGCTGGTTCTTCCGTCCCAGCGGAGGGGCTCATGTTACGGAACGATGTTTGTTTGCCCCTACTCCGTCTGTGGAGTCCTGGGGCCCGCGAGCTCCACACAGATCCTGGCATCGGAGATCTCTGCACGTGTCTTTTTGCCTCGTCCAGGGGCGCTCGAGCCGAGGGCCCCAGGGCCCCAGATGTGGAAGGCGGGGTCGAGGGCCTCGAGCCCACCTCTCGTGCAACCAAGACGCCGAGAGAAGGGCCGCTGTGGGATCGGAAGGCAGCCGACTGCATGCTCTTGCCGCGGCCTGCTTCTCGGTGGGCCCCGGGGGCCCGAGGCTCGAGGCCCCGGCAGGGTGCCCAGAGAGGCTGGCCGCCCCCGAGTTTGCTGGGGCTCCGGAGGCCCAAAGGCTTGCGCCCCAGGGGGCGGCCAGGAGGGGGCGTGCTGACGAGGGGGCCTCGCAGCTGCGGCCGTGAGGTCTCTCCAGCTGTCCTGGCCCCCGCTTCTGCTTTCGACGCGCTCTCCCTGCTCCCCCCCCCCCCGTCCACGCACGTGCTTCGGGCCGTGATCTGCGACCCCCCCCTCGGCTCCGGAAAGGCGCCGCACTCTGGGCGGTCGTCCGACCTCAAAACTGTGTCGGACGTGCACCCCGAGCGAGGCGAAAAAGCAGGGCTGAAGCTTCCGTCTCGGAGAAGTAGAGCTGATACAGGCCTCGGAAAAAATTAGCGAACACTCATGCCACGTTCATCTGTGAACGCCTCCCCCTTCCCCCAATGTTCAAAGTTGGCGGTGGGTCTGATGAGTTGCACCTCGACCGCAGTCTCCGCCCCGCGTGCCAACTTTGAGTTTTGGGGGCAGGGGGGGTGTTCACTAATTGTTTCCCTCTACCGTATCCCCGCAAGAATATGGCGGGAACAGCGACGGCAAAAAGCAGGGCGGAAATCGATAGCAAAGGCGCTTGAGTAGTCGGGCGGGAATTTACGCCCTGTCTGCGAAATTGCACAGAAAGTACGGCAGAGTTGGAGTCAGGGCCCTCGTCCGCACACGTGCCTCGGGCCGTGATTTGCGCCAACACCCCCCCTCTGTGATGCCACCATCTTTTTGGGTGCAGCTCCTGTGAGGTTGAATTTCGAATCGGCGCTGGTATATCTCGAAAACTACCCTAACCTGGCTCAGTCCCGCTCAATGCGGCGTAATCTGCTTCATCCGGCCTAATTCCGTTTCGTCTGGCCTGATCTGGGGCTTGGTCTGGCCCAGTTTGGCTCAGTGGACCCTCGCTCGTGTCCAATTGCCCTTCATCGCTCTGACGCCAAACCTATTGGACGCCCCTTGCCTCCCAACTCGACCAAGAACCAAGCGACGCCAACCCGCCTACCTGCGGCCCTCCATGTTGCGCCACGGCCCATCGGGGGCCGCAGCGTACACTTCGTAAGAACCCACGCGGGACTTCTGGTATACGCCGAGCCCCGTGGAGCCATAGATGGGGTGGTGCCTGGCGGCGAGGGCGCCCCAGGAGCCCTCTCCCCCCTCCTCCTCCTCCTTCGGCTGAGTCACCCGAAGGAGCGGGAAGAGGAGGAGGAGGAGGAGGAGGAGGAGGAGGAGGAGGAGGAGGAGGAGGAGGAGGAGGAGGAGGAGGAGGAGGAGGAGGAGAGGAAGGAGGAAGGAGGAGGAGGAGGGGGAGGGAGGAGGAGGAGGAGGAGGAGGAGGAGGAGGAGATGAGTAGAGGAGGAGAGGAGGAGGAGGAGGAGGAGGAGGAGGAGAGAGGAGGAGGAGGAGGAGGAGGGAGGAGGAGGAGGAGAGGAGGAAGAGCCATAGATGGGGTGGAGCCATGGATGGGGTGGTGTCGTTTGCTCTCCGGCACCCTGCCTCTGGGACCCCCTGGCCCCGAGACCGCCGCGGGCGGCGAGGGCGCCCCGGGAGCCTTCTCCCCCCCCTCCTCCTCCTTCGGCCGAGTCACCCGAAGGAGCGGGAGGAAGGAGGAGGGGGAGGAGGAGGAGGAGTGAGGAGGAGGAGGAGGAGGAGGAGGAGGAGGAGAAGGAGGGAGGAGGAGGAGGAGGCAGGAGGCGGAGGGAGGAGGAGAGGGAGGAGGAGGAGGAGGAGGAGGAGAGGAGGAGGAGGGGAGAGGAGGAGGGGAGGAGGAAGGAGGAGGAGGAGGAGGAGTAGGAGGAGGAGGAGAGGAGGAGGAGCAGGAGGAGGAGGAGGAGGAGGAGGAGGGAGGAGGAGGAGGAGGAGGAGGAGGAGGGAGGAAGCGCGCGGGCGAGCGGGGGGGCGTGGGGTGGTTTAGGGGTTGGGGAGATTGGAGGCGCTGGCGGCTGTACCTTGATGGGCCATGAGGGGGCACTGGAGTCGTTAACATGACAGATAGGAGATGGACACATCAGCTGATGGGCACTGCTCGAGGAACGAAATACTGCATACACATAGTTTCGAAACTCGCGGATTTTTGGGTTGGCAATGGGGCCCCCCTGGGCGGCGCCCCCGCGCGCCGCCCCTGGCGCGCTCCGCGCACCAGGGAGGGGGGGTCCAGCGCCGATCCAAGAAATCCGCGGGGACCTTCAAGAAATTGTGCTTATGCCTTTCTTGTTCCTCTAACCTTTCATGTGGTTTTTGTGAGCACTCCCCGCGCCACTGATTTGATACTTACGGGCTGCGCTGCGATGTGTCGATCTGTCGACTGGCCGGAATCCTGCGTCCCGCCCCGCTGGCCATGCCAACGAATATTGAATCGGGGGCGTGTGGATGCGTTGAAACTTGCGCCGGCACTCTGGTCTCGCGGGTGATGCAGGATTTTGTCCATCAGCCGTTCCTTGAATTACTCGACACAGAGATCTCCATATGTGCATCTCATACTCCTGTCACGCTCCGCTGAGGAACTCTCTCTCTGAGTGTCTGGGTGTGAGAGCAACTCCGCGTAGACGACAGGCGCGGCAATGACGAGGACAGCGACGACATCAGTGACGTCCTCCTCCTCCTCCTCTTCCTCCCCTGGACATATTTCAAGAGAGACGAGGGAATCACAAGTGGAAGAGCGAGGGGGAGTTCCTCTTACCGTTCTCCCCGCGGCAATTCAGGCAAGCGCGCAGGGCGTTGCTACGCCCGGTCTCTAGCGTGCTGCTCGCCGCGCCTGCTGGCACTCGGGGTGCCCAAGTGCCACGCCTGCTATATCGCGGCGTGCATGCGACCACCGAAAATGCACCTGGGGGGCAAACGCATGCAAACCGCCAGAGACATCCATACAGTCTGGACGCGGACCCTCGAGTGCCCCCACCCTTGGCGGCTCCGCCTCGGGGTGCCCAAGTGTCACGGCTGCTATGTCGCGGTGGTTGGACCACGAAAAGAAACAAGGCCGGAGGGCAGAAGCACGCAGACCGCATGGGACATCCTCTGATTATGCTGCGATCGCAGAGGATGTCAGCACGCAAGCAGGCAAACCGCTTGAGGCATCCCCACAATCTGGATGCGAGTCGTTGAATGTTTTGACACTGGCGCCCCCCCTTTTCGGAGTACTGAAGTCAGCGCCTCGCCTGAGGCATCCTGAAAATCTGCTCCGAAACCAGAGGATGTTGAGCACGCAGGCGAGCAAACCGCGTGAGACATCCCCGCAATCTGGGCGCGAGTCCTGGAATGTCCTGCTCCCTGCCCCCCCCCCCCCGCTTTCGGAATGCTAGAGCCAGCGCCCCGCCTGAGACATCCTCAGAGTGTGTTTCGAAACAGCAGGATGTTGAACAAACACGCGAGCAATTCACTCGAGACATCCCCATCATCTGGGTGCGAATACGTGACTGTCCTGACCCCTGGCGCCCCCCCCTTGGAGTGCTAAAGCCAGCGCTTCGCTTGAGACATCCTCGAAATCTGCTCCGAAGCCAAAGGATGTTGAGCACGCAAACAAGCAAACCACCTCAAGCATCCCCATAATCTGATGGCGAATCATGGGCATCGTTAAAATCTGCTCCGAAACCAGAAGATGCAGAGCACGCGAACGAGCAAACCGCTTGAGACCTCCCCACAACCTGGGCGCAAATCTTGGATCATCCGGACCTCTGGCAGGGCGCCCAAGTGCCACGCCTGCTATACCATGGTGAGCATTGGAGTCTCACTGTGAGCGTGAGTGATTATTAACGTGTGTGTGATGGGTGCGCCTGAGTGTGACAGGGTCTGAGTGTGAGTGGGTCTGAGGGTGATGAGTGAGACCGAGTGAGAGTGAGTTTGAATGTTTGTGGGCGGATCTGAGTATGAGTGGGTCCGACGGCGAAGGGGTCTGAATGTTACTGTGTGTGTGTGTCTGAGTATGGGTGAGTCTGAGTGTGAGTGACTCTGAGTGTGGATGAGCCTGAGTATGAGTGAGTCTGGGCGTGAGTGAGTCCGAGTGTGAATTAGTCCGGGTAGGAGTTAGTCTGAACACGAATGAGTCCGAGTGCGGGTTAGTCTGAATGTCCAGAAGGGAGAGGAG